TTTGCCATATAAAAATTCACTCTCTTTAAAATCAATAACTAAAGTTTGCTTGTGACGTACAATTAAATAATTTATATAACAGGAGCAGCAGTTCTTAGAAAAGGAGGCATTTAGGAGACAATACATGCACTTGGTCATCCAAACCATGGCTATCCTTCGAACTGAGAGGTGTCTTCTTCTTCTTGTGTTTTTTTTTTTTTTTTTTTGCCCTTACAAAGGGAAGTCTTGAACTCCAGATTCCAGAGGAAAAGGCAACGTGAGTACCATTGAGCCAAGTAGATCACTCATTGGCAACTGTGATGTGAGGCATTGTTATTCAAATCAACATTGCCTTGGAAACTTGTTTTTGTTTGTAGATCAATGTTCACTACTATGGTTTGTTGACGAGATAAATATATATATCTATTACTGATATAATCTTTTGTTTATGTCATTGTCCGACCGGTGACCAAGCGCATCACTAAAACGCTAATACAGTTAAATACATGGCCCCTGTTTTCAGCAAATTTTGGTAGAGTGGGCGAGGAAGAGTATCAGTGAAAGGGAGGGTTTCGAGTCACAAGTAGTGATTTGAGAGTGTTTTAATCCATCCATTGTCGTTGCTATTTACTATCAGGAAGTAGATGAGACATTATTAATTCTAGTTTTTTAAGAAAAGGAAGTAGATGATTGAAAATGACATCATACCTAGGGAATCTTTCCAAGTTATAAACATACGAAAAATCTCATCTGGTTAGAGGACAAAAATGCTGTTACATTTCAAAACGAAGGCCTAGCTGTAACCAGAAGAAAACATTTAAGTCCTAGCTAATTTTCCTAGGCCACATCTTGTGAAGCTAAGACTGCGCTAGCTGAGACTAGAACATGAAAAAAAAAAAAAAAAAAACAGATGAAGGAAGAATTGATTGGTTATTTCTCATGAGCATTACTTAAATGACAATTTGCACATCTTTGCGACAAGCTTTCTGTATCATTATCTCGGTAGCCCATCCATGCCTTCATGCTAAGGTCACTGGGGATCAAGTTCAGAGTTTCATGGTGCCTAGGCTTAACCTCTTCACCAAAATAAAGACACTAGCTCAATAGTAGAGATAACTTGCTTTTTAATCCTTCTTTCCTTTAGCCCCCCTTTCCTTTTCTTTTTTTCCTGACTTTGTGAGCCATGACAAAACACTAAACAACCAAAAGTTTATAATCAGTCACACCACATAACATCACCCACCCCCTTCTTTTCATCAGTCACTCTAGTCTCTCCTCTCCTCTATCTCCTCCCTCGCAACATGGATTTTAACTTATCCCTAATCCTCTCCGCCATCTTCTTCACATCCATACTTGTCAATGTTCCTAGCTTGACCACGTCCGACAGCAGCGAGTGTCCTTATCCTTGTTATCCTCCACCCACCGGGACTGGTACCCCGATTGTCACAACACCACCGTCTCCGCCATCTCAGTCAGCAGGGACATTTTCACCCCCTTTATACCCTTCCCCGACTGGAAATTTACCATACTACTATCCACCACCTTTTGGTAACAACTTTAATGGTCCTCCACCTCCTGATCCTATCTTGCCTTATTTTCCCTTTTACTACAGGAAGCCTCCTCATCAAGGCGATGTTTCTTCGGCAACCAGTCTTCCAAGGTCAACTCTTATGATGGCCACATCTAATACTATTGCTTTTGCTTTTCTGTACCTTTTTTTTGGCTGTTAAAGTGATTGAAAAATTTGATGTACGCAATTTATCGCCTGTATGCTAATAAATATATAATTAGGTTTAATTAGTTGTAATATTTGAATTTATGTCATGCGAGGGAGAAGATACAGCATCAACATTTTAATTGCCAAGTTTTTTCTAGTTGTAGAAAGCGATTAGCTAGGGTTTAATTGCAAGTGAATTGTTCAGTTGCTCGTTTCCTATTTTTATTTCTTATTGCAAGAACTTCGATATTTGATTGTAAAGGAGAATAGGATATGGTTGGTATTACTTCTTTTAGCTCGGAAAATAAACATCAGGGATTGGTCCGACCACTAGAGAGGGGTCTTCTTCCCAAAGTCAAACGTTTTGGGAAGTAAAATTTCCAACATCGAAAATCTACTAGAGAGTCTTCTTCCCAAAGTCAAACGTTCTGGGAAGTAAAATTTCCAACATCGAAAATTTGTTTTTGGCTGGACTGAAAACATGGATTCGTTTTCTGTACGAAAGTTGTTCGAATATAACATAACTGGCATAAACTTATATATATATAGAAAAAAAAAAGAAAAAAAAAAAGGGGACGAAGTGAGGTGTTAGAAGATGCGGAGGAGATGGTCCCAGAAGTTTGCCTTTCGTTTGGTGATGCTGAATGAAGCTATAAAGTAATCTGCTTTCCTTTCTTTGCTTTTTTCTTATTGACAGTGGTATTGTTTTTTTTTTTTATCCTGAAAATATTTTTTAATAAAATAAATCATATCTTAGAATTTCATTTTATTTATACCTCAATTTTTTGGTTAAAATAATTATTTAACATCGATTATATCATTTGTTTTGTTTGGATGAGAACATTTAATTATACAGACATGAGCCATCGTGGTGGGCTAGCACATTCATAGAATTTGTGGAGGCCTTGTGTCTTACATTGGTGCTGTATACGAGGTTGAACATGTCTTGATAAAAGCATCATAGTTTTATTACGGGTTATGCACCTTCTCTGAGAAAAAAGGGAATCATGGTTCTCGTAGCATTATTTTCCTTCTCTTTTTTCATCGATTATATATACTCTCAAAAAAACTAGTAATTCTTTTTTACGGAGATTTAGGAACTAAGAATGTTTACTCCATTATGGAGTCCAATATTTGTCTAAAATTAATTTAAAATAAAGAAAAAATAAATATTTTTTTTCAAAATTGTATTTAAAATACAAAAACAAAACGAATTTTAGACTTGTTGCCTATCTTAATTCTTATCGATTATATATACTCTCAAAAACACTAGTAATTCTTTGTTACGGAGATTTAGGAACTAAGAATGTCTACTCCATTATGGAGTCTAACGTTTGTCTAAAATTAATTTAAAATAAAGAACAAATAATTTTTTTTTTTCAAAATTGTTTTTAAAATATAAAAACAAAACGAAATTTTAGACTTGTTGCCTATCTTAATTCTCAAAGGATCCATATAATCTTCAGTATGTTCCTTTCTCTACTGCATTTGGTTACTCCTTGGCGAATTATAAACTAGATCACACAAATCATGATTCATGTGAAGTATACCTACAACATGATCAGCAGGATGAAATTCCTTAAGATTAAAGAATATCATTTCTCATGATATAATATTAAGAATATCAGATTCTCGTTTAAATGATCAGGCAAACACTAATATGAGTCAATCTGTAAAAGTCTGGAATTAGTTAAGTAATCCTACAGGCTAGCTTATATACATACACAAACACACATCAAATGGCCTCTTTACCCATCACTAGCTAAATTTGTAAGGGATACGTCTCCTGGGTCCTACTTTCCATTTAGCTGCGAGGGTTATTTTCAATGTGCTGGAGCTGAAATCACACTTTCTCCGGCATAATGGTCACATCTTTCAGCACAAATAAAGACTAACTTTATTCCGATCAATGAAAGGAACAACTCTTTGAGGTAGCGGTCAAGTTTTGTAATAATTACCAGTTGACTAATCCCAGATCATATTCAAGCATTAAAGACTAATTTTAGCATGCAAATACCAAATACCTGATGTTATAGACTTAATGGGATGCATCATCACGCGGCCTCTCTATTGCATAAGAGCGATCCTGTTGCCACAGTTTAGAAGTTCTGCTTAAGGGTGATTTGTCCACTGTTTGTGACATCATTTCCTGGCACACCTTCTTTCTCCGTTCTGTTTATTGTCCTTTGTTGCAGATTTTTTCGTGATACAGACCATCGATGTAAGTTGAGGAATCAATCCTCCGCCATTTCAAGACATACATGGGGTGGACATAATCTAGTTTCAGATATATGGATGCATTATTTTTTTTTTCTTTTAATGTATTATTATTAAAAAAAAATGCTTCATCGCGTAAATAAGGGTTTTCTCATAGTTCATTGTACCTGAAAAAGAAAACCAAATAAAGTTCATGGTTTTTACTATATGATTTGCTGCCATTATCGCATTCATATACATATCAGATGCTCAGCACAGATTGTAATGCGATAGGCAATGCACCTGATACAAACTAGACTAACTTCTGTTGGTAAGGTAGCAAGAATGGAAGGAAACAAGCAGACATTCTTATCTATTCCATCTACATTGTTGATTTCGCTGCACACATGGAGGAAAAATGCTATTACCATCAGTTGACTGAGACAATTTGTCATTTCGTTGCCGCTGATAAAGAATAGCTGTTGTCTTTCCTGATTTGACCTTCGCCCATTGGACTTGTATTCAAATTCATGGTATCAGACAGGCTAACAATATCATGATAGACGACTGTGTTGTGTATTTGGAAAATGGAGAAAATTACTCAATTCAGGAAGGCGACACCAACAGCTAGATTTCCCTTTCCAGTATTGCTTCCAATTCCAATGTGTTTTATGTTTTTCCTCGACATCTCGCTGCTACTTCTGTGGCTTCTCGTTTTTGCTTTCCCTTCAACCTTCAGGTCTTTTGATACTCTGGTATTTTCTGATACTTGATGCCTTTGCAAATTAGCATCCTTCACCTTCCCTCTTTCATTCTTACCAGTGACACCAATTTTAGTTACAGCTTCTGGCTTGTGCCTATTATTGTTGGTTGGTTTAGTTTCACGAGCCTCGAAAACATTTGTTGCTTGATGATCAGTCCTTGCTTGATGATCAGTCCTTCGTGAGGGATCCGGCTGATTAGTAGTTTTTACTGATTCATTAGCAGTGACGGCTTGGTCATTTCCAATCCCTGAAAGTAATTGTGATCTAGCAGCAGCTCCACTCCCTGGACTTGTTGACCTGTTTTGTACTTTAGCTGGTTTGGTTTTAGATGAAGAAGCCTGAGATAGAAGTACAAAAGCTGAATTTATTTCTGCCAACTAATACTGTAAAGCGCAGATAACAAAACACAGAACTGCTCGAGAAAAAGAACAAATTATCAGCCTTACAGTCATGCTTCCAGAATTACAAAGAGTAGTTCAAGCAGGAGCTTACAAAGAAGGGCTTGAGGCTGAACTATGGAGATATTGATGTGTGAAAATACATTATAGAAAATTTTAACTAATGATCTGGTGATGAAAGCCACCTTAATTTAACAACATTCTCATAAAATCTCTATCACCATATTTTGATGACAACACGTACCTTCCTTCTCGAGAACACCTTTTTTATCATCACCTTTTCTTTTACTATGCTATTAACAATAAGTGGAAAGTTCATATAGGATTCCCCATCCATTCCATAGGGTTTCATCCTTCAAGTTTGTCATAGATCTGCGTGTTTTTCAGCCCCAGGGAGAAAGAATAATAATACAAGAACTTGTTAGTCATTTCACTGACCTTTCCTTTTTTTTTTTATCCATGACCAATCTCTCTTATTTCACTGACCTTTCCTTCTTTTTTTTTTTTATCCATGACCAATCTCTCTCTGACTTATAACTAAGTCCTACAAGCATAACCACAAGTAAGTTTACACTCATTTCGCTTTGATCATTCTTAGTATTACAGCTTCAAACCATGTCTAACAGATGGAACCATTATATCAACACCTTGGACACTTGGCAAAGAACTTTTTATGAGGTGATAAAATATGCTTTGAACAAGTATCAAGTAAACGCCCACCACTTCATAGCATCTTAAGATGAAGATGGTACAATGTGAATGTACAGTAAGGCAAATCAACAACATTTACAACTCCTTGGTGGCAACTTATATTATCCGAATGCTATAAAACTGAAATTGCTATGTAGTTCTTGCAATTTCAAGAAGTAAACGTGATGCAATCTGAACAGCAGGAGGAAGCTAACTAGGAGCTTTAAAATCATTTACTTTCTCATTTTACATTAGTTTCCTCTTCATAAATAGTTGTCCACTACACCGTTCTTTCCCAGCAACAATAAAATCTGAAAATATGTGAATGAGCAAAGCACATATATACTGCTGGCGAGATTCATATCAAATTAAGTTTATGAGACTTGCATTAAAATAAAACAAGAAGCAAACCAATTCCACAAGTGAGATCAAGGTAAAACACACACACAGTTTTTGAATAAAACCAAAACACAATAACCCTAAGATTAACTAAGACAGTATGCAGATCTCATATCTACAATAATTAGGATCACTTGTAATGGAAAGCAGAGAAAATTCAAACACCACAATATTTTACCCCGCACACACCCACAAAACGTTACAGATTGAATTTATTACTTACGTATCCATACATATAGGCTATAATAAGACAACATCAAAATGCCAAAACTGCTAATGCGCTGTACCTTGTTCTCATTGGAGCCTGGCGCTACAGCAACACGATAGAATGAAGGCATGGGTGTAGCTTTAAAATTAAGTCTTTCCCTGAATTTTTTAATTTCAGCCTTCTTCTGTTCCTACAAACACAGTAATTCATGCATCTGATACAGATAGAATTATGGAAAAGATATATTCAAATTGCTATAAGATAAGCTTGAGTCCATTACAAGCTTCATTCTCATTGAGGGATGATCTACGACACAATTAGAGAATTTCAGAAGATTATTAAAATTTGGCTTTGTAGAAGACTCGGCGTATAATGTAGCAATCTTCTTTTGACATAATGAAGTATCGCAAGAGCAAGTACAATATCAATGCACTTACTGACAACAACAAGAGCCAGCTATTGGAGAAATTTTTACGTACTTGTGTTTTTGCTTGAAACTGATTCGTTTCTGACTCCTTAGCATGCAATTTTTTTTCCAACATCATATAGAACTGAATCATATAACAAACGAGAAAAGGATTGAGCATTTAAATTTGACTGCTAGCCACAGAACAGTAAAATTCCAAACAACAGCAAGCTTGGTCACCTCTTTTCGCCTTTCTGCTCTTTCATCACTTTTGAAACTGAAGGCTGCAGCGCATGGCATTGTGTCTGGCTTTATTGAATTAACAATCTGCTTATTTCTGCATCACAATTACTCTATATCTAAGTTCAGGAAATAAAAAATGTTAGAACATTAGAGCATCAACTGATGATGTATGTTATGGACCTGTTCGCTCTTAGATGAGACATAGGTTCAACTTTTTTTGATCTACATGGTGGAGATTCAAATTTCTTTACTCTTGATTCCCTTTCACTGCACAACAATACAGACATCTTAAAGGCCGAAAACATGGAAGATGCAGGTTTGCAATTTGCACGAATCAGAAAGTACCTTCTACTCACAGGATGTAACCTTAAATTGCCACTTTCAGAATTCTGAGCACAAAAATAAATTTTGAAGTAAATAAAAGCAAACGCCAAAAAGAGCGTTTTTAACTATAAAGTCAAATTGAAAATGAAAAATCAGCCAGTTTAGAATATCGATAACAAATTAATCCAAATGCTCACCTCTTCATTTTGAGCTCTATGCAACGTACTTCTAGTAGGAGTGGCAGCTCGTGATGACTGCTTTTCTGATTTTGCTCTTTGCGGTGTTTCTCTTTCTCCTTTATTCTGGGTTTTTGCAGTAGTTTTTGACACGTTGTTAGGGATCTTCTGGAATTGACTGCCATTAATCGGAGACCTCATTCTGGGGTTCGTGGATTTACATTCCACAGAATCTCTCAGCTGGGATGATAAGATATAAAGAAACGCAAATCAGGGTCAATTTAGCACGATTATAAAATGATAGCAAGGATGGAAATTGTCAACAACAGCAGCAGTAGCAAGAATAACAGTGGTAAGAGCATATAGGCATGAGTTTGACATGGCAGAATGCAAGATTAAACTGAATTAATGCCATTTAGTTGTTCGTGTTGTGTCCCTGTGCGTACGTGCTTCGTTTATTTTTTAGTAGTCATGTAGCATTTTTTATTTCTTTACACACCTTTGGAGAAAGATTATGTTGATGCACTGGACTAGTGTTGTCAAGATCCTTGGCAGTTCCATTTTTTGGGGACAGAACAATTGTCACAGATGATTCATCTATTTTAGCAACATTATCATTAATGTTATCTTTCATTTCCATCTCTTGTTTGTCATTATTCAGATGCGACTCGACAGGTCCAGTTTCAATTTGATGTGCTTCCTCAGGTTTAACAGATTCACCCACACCTTTGACCGAAACATTAGCATGAACCGAAGCAGCTTCCACTGGAGATTCAGAAGACAGAACAATAGGATCCTTTCTTTCACATTCAATGACCTCTAATTGTCCATGATAATCCGGATCCTCAGGGCTCTCATCAAAGCAAGCACGATGGCTCTCATCATTTACATGATCAAACTGATCTCCTTGATTTCCATAATCAAATTCGTCACAGTCCACACTTTCCAGCACATCATCCTCACGGTGAGAATAATTGCAACTTCCTTTCATATCATCATCTTCTTCTCCTTGACCCAAATTTCCGTACTCGTCATCCTCGCAGTTCTGGCATCCCCTCCCACTCAGGCCATCAAGTGAATCCGGACGCAGAATACCCTTCTTCTTGAAATGAGCTTCAAAATAAGCTTTCTTCTGGATTACAGAACCTGGTTTTGAGCATTTTTCAACCTCTTCAAGATACCTATTGTGAGAAAAAGACGATCTTCTCTCCCAAGACAAGTCTTCACTCTCAAATCTTCCAAAGGATATGGACCCAGAGTGCAGAGAATCTACCTGTCCGATCCAGAAATGTTAACAAATTCACAATATACCCTCGCTAGCAGAACATCAAACAAGCAAAAAAAAAACAAATTCAAGCAAGCCAATATCAAGTGTCAAGAACTATAAGTTTTTTTTTGCTGAACAATGAAGAAAAATTGATAACTTCCTCCCAGAACGAGAGAACATGAAACTGAGAACTACTAAAATAACCAACCAGGTTTCCATGTAAAATTGATGGTTGATTAAGTAAATAAAAATAAGACGTCAAGACAAAATTAGATAACTTTCAAGAACAAGATAAGTTACCTGAAAGCTAATGCAGTTGCTGCGGCTAAATGGTTCTTGAAATTCTCCCGCCATCACTTAAAATGAAGCACTAAGCTTTGCAGTGAGGGATCAGTAGCAGCGAAGACATGGATTGATCTGATGCTCTCTTTTCTTCTTTTCAGTTGAGACTTGAGATAATATTGTGCAAAGGGGGACGCTCTTCGCTTGAAAAGTTGATCACCCATCCATCTCTTCCTAATCATGTCATGTGCCGGTTGTCTCTTTTTTGTCTTGTTTCCATTTTCTTTTTTTCTTTTTTTTAATGGTAATACTCCGTTAGTTTCCACGTTCAGATTTGGGGATCGACGGTTCGGTTTTGGATCAGAGCGGTTGATCTAACGGAATAGAAACGGAGGATGGGAACGACCACGTGGCAGTCTACTAAATTCCTGACAGTCCAGCTGTCTTTAACTGAGAAAGTTTTGTGTGCGAGAGATATGTATCGTATCCTGTATTGCTATTCGTAATGTGAATTAACAGTTATTATTTGCTTTTCTCTTCTCAAATTTCCAAAAAAAGGGAATATTCCATCTTCTTTAGAATTTATAATAATTTAAAAAAGAATAGTCCATCTTCTTTAGAATTTATAATAATTTGTGTTTCTTGATTAGTAATTAGCTTTGCTTCTACTCCATCATATGGGATTTTAATTTTAAGAAAGAGGTGGGGAAAATATTTTTATTTATTAATAATATCAGTTTTTTTATATGAATAATCTACTTAAAATTTGATATGAGAAATTGCTATCGATTTTATTTAAAAAAATTATTCTTTAAGAAAAAAATGAATTTCATTGCAAACGTCTAAATTAAATATATAAATATAAATAGAGACTGTTTGCTGGATATGCCAATTATCTACCATTAATAGTTATTTCAGTTAATTAATTGTTTTATTTCTTTTATATTATTATGATTATCGCTGCATTTGGCATTAGCTTCCACTCAATCTGATCCTTCGCCTTGAACAGAGAGTTAGGGTTGATGTGAAAGCGAGAGTTAGAACTTTTAGGATCTTTATTCATTGGAGCATGCTTCATTGAGTTAGGGTTATGGATGGGCTACAGTCGCTATATAGTGCAGTTGATTAGCTACTTCAGAAAACCCACAGCCGGTATCCCGTCTTCAATAAAAAAGAGGAGAGGGAAAATCATTGAAGAAGTGAGTGCAATATCGCCCTTTTCCTCTTTAATGTAGCCTGACGTTGACAAGATAACACCTTCAAGAAAAGAAAGGAACAGACAAAAGAAATAAAATTGAGAGGCTGAGCCTTTTTGTGGTAGGTCACAATGATTATCATCACCGCTGAACCTCAT